CCCCTGTTTAATACTGATTATAGGATCTTGGTCCTAAAATTATTAAACAATACAAATGTAACTCGGTACATTCTTTTCATAAAATAGACTACTGATTTAATAGTACTAGTTTTTGCATAATTACTGTCAATAGAGTAAAGTCTTGTGTTTTTTTCTTTAGTCCTAAGCGCTGCGTCTAATATGCCTATTGGCTTATTTAACCTTGAAATAGTATACTTTCAATACAAGCGTTTGCCAGAGTCTCATTCGACAAACAATTCATTTTGTATTAGTTGTCTTATCATTTCTGAATTTACTAAAATAAAATCATGTACACAACTTTGTTTATTGTACTATTATTATGGGCAGTGGTGCAATTAGGGAGCGGGGACTCCTTAGTGATCTGAAGCTTCTCACCCCCATTTGATTGTGTATCTAACTGGGCCTTGTTATCGAAAGCAGCAACTAGTTGGATTAGAACCTTTAAAATCTAGATTTACAAAAATAAAACCGATAGATATTACTATCTAATGCCATAGTTTTATAAGTTTTGTTCTATTCACATTTTAAAACAATGTATTCAGTTCCCATTAGTTTGAACTTGCGACGTGTGCTTGGGCAATTTATCAATAATTACTGATATTTTTTTCGACAATATTATATATCCAATAACCTAACCTTCCCAAATTATTTAAATTAATTAATTAATAATAAATTATTTCAAAATTATTTTACAATTATCTACTGAGATGCTTGAAACACTGACTCTCTGACGCTAACGCTCTCGGCCATTAAATTTGCAATCTGTATTTTCAGTTCAGTTTAAATAGGTAAATGTACCAGTGTGTTATTGTAATATAAAAAACTATGGAGAGTGATGCGAGCGACAGTGATTTGAAACAAATACAGGTCGACAAAACGTAAGTAACACAACAATATTTTTAGAGAAGTGTATAGGTAGGTACACCCAACCGTGTTTGTGCACGGCACACGGTTTGACAAGTTTGCGAAGGGGAGGTCACAGTAAAGGCGTGACGGATTTTTTTCAAATTGCGAATAAATGTTATTTTTGAGAAATAAAAACACCCTTATTTGAGCGTTTGTGCCAATGCGTCCTAATTCCAGAGATAATCAACTTTCAAATTTACACATCTTTTGGTATATCCTTAAATAGACCTATTTTACAATTTCTTGTAAAATCGAAATGTGATGCGGTCGAGAATGAACAGTTCCTTGGAGTAAAGTAGTAGTACCGTGTTCAAATCCGGCGACTCCCCTCTCAACAAAATACTTTTAGCATTTTTTTACAACTTTTTTTTCAACTTTTATGGTAATTTATATCGCAAGAAGTCTAAAAACGTATAAAATATTTATATTTTAATACTACAGAATACATTTTTACCCTTAAAAGTACTCGATAACCTACATTGCATTGGGGTTTTCGTCATTTATTATACAACTCGTACTGATGATTGAATAACATATTTTTTTTGTATAATTGCACTATTTTAGAATTCAACCTGTAAGGTTGTAGGTCTATTAATACATGTTAATGATTAAATATGCCAAGCATTCATGCGAAAGGGACTTCGTTCCAAACGCGTGTCCCGCGCGACACGAACCAGTTTTTTTTTATCTACAAGTATAGTAGGTACTTATGACATATTACTCTGAACTTTCTGCATTTATTTTCAAAAACATTGATTTTACTTTCTTTTTTAATGTCGTATGATTTAAACCAATGTTAAATAGTACCATGGAATAATTTGAATTTTAGCAGAAATTTCGATACAAAAATAAACGAGTAAAATACAATTTTGTTTTGCCTGTTTTGGTTGTGGTGGAATACACTTACTTCCGTTTTCGCTGGGTTGGGTTTTAGTGAGTTCTGTGTATAGAATCTGTCCAAGTTCTCCAGGGCATGTGTGAGTGTCTGTTCCACTTCACTGAAAGTTTTGCCCTGCGCAGTTATCGCTAAATCGTCGGCATACAGGAAACGGTGAGTAGTTTCCATAATGGGCTGGTCATTTGTATAGACACATTAAAGAGTATTGGTTCGACGACACTATCTCGCAGGAGGCCATTTGTTTAACTTATCCATTGGCCTTTTTCGGTCTTGTAGTCTAACACGGCATCTTCTATTGCGACCCGTTGACTCAATTACTCTCGTTAATAGACGAAATCTATTAGAAAAAAAACATTTTTGGATATTTAAAAAGCTCGGAATTTTACCAGACGATTTATAAGCTATCCGAATAGAATAAATAATTAAATTGGCTTTTAGAAATCATTGTTTATTATTAGGTATTGTTGTTATCTATTATTTATAACAGTATTCAGTTATTTTTTGTCAGCAAGTCTCAAGAACTTATCCATTTGATTGACTTGAAGAATCCAACTGATTTTGCGAAAATATGGAAAAGATGGTGTTAAATTCAGCGCTAGTGGCCGGAGGGTTCGTGGCAGGAGTTGGAACTTACGGCCTGGTGCAATATGCGGTGGGTTGGTGGCGCAGCTCACGATTGACGGTACGTATGAATTAAAAAAATATTTCACTGTCATACTTAAGGAAACACACACAACTCCGCTTGACAATCTTTACGTGTTAAGGTCAGGTCCGAGCCGGGATCTGTCCGGGTGCAAGAAAACGATTATCCATTGAGTTTTTGCGCCACTGCGCCCAAATTACCTTGCTTTAGGTAAACTGCACCCCGTTTATAATTTGGTTTAAAAAAGGTTACATGTTACAAGCTGCGCCCAGCTTCTTATCGTCGGTATGAAATGCAAACAGCGCCCGAATCAATAAAATCGCAGAAATATTAATATTTGGCCTCGGATGAAGATAAACGGACGTCGCTTTCATTTAACGCAATCGTGGATTAGACATATCCAACAAAATGGCTCGAGTATTGACTATAACTTATAAACAGTGATATTAAAAAGGGAGGGGGGGATTAGTTCAATGCTTAAGTGGAAATATTACTGAAACACCTTCGCCCCTGTATTTAGGTACGAATGTACGAATATATATATATATATTCATATATTTACGAGCGTTTTAGATCGGGTTGAGAACTTTTAATCTGCAAGAGATAAGAGAGATAATTATACATAAGAAGATATTTTTATAGATTTATTTTTCGGATCTAATTACAAAAAATGTATCCACTATTTGGTATAATAAAATAATAGGTAGTACAAATATTAAGTTTAACATTTAGAGTTTATTACATTATATTTTATTAGCAGAAATGCCGTGCAGAAATAATAAAAAAATCTAAACGTATTTTATTATACCTAACATTAATTGATGTTGTCGTACAAAATGGCGCGCCCCGTCTATCACGTGCGTGCGCTCAAATGGCACCTTCTGATTGGCTGATTGTGTAAACGAAAAACAGCAGCCATTTTCTAACAAGGAGAATTACTTTGAAATGTACACATTTTTTCATATATCTTAAATCAACCTATTTTCTAGCCTCCAGCAAAATCTATTTGTGGTGCGGTTGGGCGTAATCGGTCCCGGGACTAAGGGGTACTTGGGTTCAAATCCGGTTCCACTGTCCAAGACTTTTTGAATTTTTTTACAACTTTTTTTCAACTCTTATGGCAATTTATATTGCAAGAAGTCTAAACACTTATAAAATAATTATATTTTACTACTACAGAGTACATTTTTACCCTTAAAAGTTAGGTTACCCTCGCGCCAATACGTTTAAAATAAATTTTCATCATCAGACGCTGAACTCTAACAACGCGTTAGTGAGTCCGGGGAACGTTAAGTTGGTGTCGTTCTAGCAGGGTACAGTAAAATTATATTAAATTGGTTTGTTGATTTTTAGGTTAGTCGTTAGATTCGTGTCGGTTTCAAATGTTGTTGATTCATTGTTTGAGGATTGTCGTGCCGGCCATTAGCGTTTGTAATAATTGTTCCTTGCGGAGAAAAACAGGTATGCACAGTATTGAGTCGCTACACTGCTGTTCACCCCAAAAATTGTAGTCCCTATAACTTACAGGCCTCAGAGTGGTCGCGTGGGTAGAACTAAGCTAATATTGTGTGTATCCTGAAAGGTATATATTATTATTTATTTTATACCTGTCTTCATTTAACAACTGGTGTAGAACTGGATCAAAATCTGCTAGTAATTTACTATCACTTTCTCAGTTAGTCTTAACAGTTTTAAATACTGTAACCATGGTTTAACTACAGAGCAATCACTAATATCAGTGTTATTAGGCTGCATATCGATTTTCAGAGAACTACTATAAATATCTACTATTTTAAAATCGATAAGAACTGTTTGACAAATAGGTAAATATTTTAAATATTTTATTTTTATAACTGCTTTTGTTTTTGTTCTTTAATCAGGACCTAGACTGAAGGTATCTAAATTAGAAATTGTGCCCCAAAATTCATCTTATAGTGCCCTTTTAGCAGGGCGTCGCCCTGCCCGCCCCCCGGTAGTTTCGGCACTGGTAAACAATAAAAATTATTAATTGTACTTCTGCTTTTTTTTTTACTTCAACCTAACAAAAATTACATTCTTTGGTTCTTTTTTGTTTATTCAAGGCGTTTAAAATAGGCTACACGGAGCACATAAAATTGCCTATTTTACAGCCGTTAAGGCACCTGTGTTCAATACTTCCTGTTCTGTGTCGCTAAACTGTTTTGTAACATCTCTATTAAGCATCGACAAGCATTAAGCAACCTTGGTAGGCAGTAGATAAATGGGATGCAATATTGATTGAGATAGCGGTAAGCAAATTGGATAGGTTGACTCTACAACAATGGGAACTGTCGTTGGGCACAACTGATGTAGTTCCATTTTTCCAGTTTGAAATTTTTCTCAACTCTCGTATAAGGTTACTTGACGCGTTTGAAAGTGGTCAGCGAGGACTTGTTGTGTTTAACAGAAAATCCGACGAGCACAAATCTACCGGCTCAAAGAATAAATTGTGTTTATTACTCAAAGTTCTCCCTCACAATGTCCATTATGTCGCGGTGATCACTTGTTTCATCGATGTTACAAGTTCCGGAGCATAAAGGTTTCTGAAAGATATGAAGTAGCAAAGGGATCGCGCGTCTGTTTTAATTGTTTGTCACCTAACCACAATGCAAAGGGTTGTTCGTCAAGCAACTGTCGCACTTGTTCAGCTCGCCATCATACTTTGCTGCATTATGATGCAATTAAGCGAACATCAAATGTTCAACCTAAAGAGAAACCAACACAATCCCTAGTTAAAGACTCAACAGAAAACTATCAACCTTCTTCGTCCTTAGTATTATTATTAGTCGACATTAGTTGTGTACAGAAATCAGTCATACATTATAAAAATAATGAGGGCAGTAATAGCACAGTGCTGGCGTTACATTGAACTAAAAATATCCTAAATTTCCAGGTTACAGTTTAGTAGCTTTATCTATCACTTCCCTACGTGAAATAAAATTTGTTGACAATTGTACGCCCTATAAGCTGTGGTAGTCTATTACAGTTGTGATAAAAAATAACTTAATATGCCAAATCTAGAGTAGAGAAATATTGTATTAATTAGTTTTGTTTGCGTTTAGGGAGAGGAACATAATGTGGAACCGCACCCAAATGAACCTATATTAACAACAGAACACAGAGTAGACGAAGACGAAGTCGAAGAGGTCCCACGTGGACCAAAGCCGGATTTGGTAAGTCTAAAATACTAGAAATTGACCATGGCCAAATTTTATTCCCCCTTTTTTACAATCCATAAAGGCTTATAGACTAATTTCCTTAAAAGAGTTGGATAATTTTTTTTGCCACTGGCTTTCCTGATACAACACTTCCTTCTATAAACTAAAAATGTCCTAAATTTACAACTTACAGACTAGTAGCCTTATCAATCGCTTCCCTACGTGAAATACAATTTTTTACGATTGTACTCCCCATGAGCTGTGGTAGTCTATTACAGTTGTGATAAAAAATAACTAAAAATGCCAAAACTGGAGAAGAAAAATATAAATACATTGGGTTTCTTTTTTACATATATTTAAATATTGTATTAATTAGTTTTGTTTGCGTTTAGGGAGAGGAACATAATGTAGAACCGCACCCAAATGAACCTATATTAACAACAGAACACAGAGTAGACGAAGACGAAGTCGAAGAGGTCCCACGTGGACCAAAGCCGGATTTGGTAAGTCTAAAATACTAGAAATTGACCATGGCCAAATTTTATTCCCCCTTTTTTACAATCCATAAAGGCTTATAGACTAATTTCCTTAAAAGAGTTGGATAATTTTTCTTGCCACTGGCTTTCCTGATACAACACTTCGTTCTATAAACTAAAAATGTCCTAAATTTACAACTTACAGACTAGTAGCCTTATCAATCGCTTCCCTACGTTAAATACAATTTTTTACGATTGTACTCCCCATGAGCTGTAGTAGTCTATTACAGTTGTGATAAAAAATAACTAAAAATGCCAAAACTGGAGAAGAAAAATGTTAATACCTTGGGTTTTTTTTTAACATATATTTAAGTATTGTATTAATTAGTTTTGTTTGCGTTTAGGGAGAGGAACATAATGTAGAACCGCACCCAAATGAACCTATATTAACAACAGAACACAGAGTAGACGAAGACGAAGTCGAAGAGGTCCCACGTGGACCAAAGCCGGATTTGGTAAGTCTAAAATACTAGAAATTGACCATGGCCAAATTTTATTCCCCCTTTTTTACAATCCATAAAGGCTTATAGACTAATTTCCTTAAAAGAGTTGGATAATTTTTTTTGCCACTGGCTTTCCTGATACAACACTTCGTTCTATAAACTAAAAATGTCCTAAATTTACAACTTACAGACTAGTAGCCTTATCAATCGCTTCCCTACGTGAAATACAATTTTTTACGATTGTACTCCCCATGAGCTGTGGTAGTCTATTACAGTTGTGATAAAAAATAACTAAAAATGCCAAAACTGGAGAAGAAAAATATAAATACATTGGGTTTCTTTTTTACATATATTTAAATATTGTATTAATTAGTTTTGTTTGCGTTTAGGGAGAGGAACATAATGTAGAACCGCACCCAAATGAACCTATATTAACAACAGAACACAGAGTAGACGAAGACGAAGTCGAAGAGGTCCCACGTGGACCAAAGCCGGATTTGGTAAGTCTAAAATACTAGAAATTGACCATGGCCAAATTTTATTCCCCCTTTTTTACAATCCATAAAGGCTTATAGACTAATTTCCTTAAAAGAGTTGGATAATTTTTCTTGCCACTGGCTTTCCTGATACAACACTTCGTTCTATAAACTAAAAATGTCCTAAATTTACAACTTACAGACTAGTAGCCTTATCAATCGCTTCCCTACGTTAAATACAATTTTTTACGATTGTACTCCCCATGAGCTGTAGTAGTCTATTACAGTTGTGATAAAAAATAACTAAAAATGCCAAAACTGGAGAAGAAAAATATAAATACATTGGGTTTTTTTTTACATATATTTAAATATTGTATTAATTAGTTTTGTTTGCGTTTAGGGAGAGGAACATAATGTAGAACCGCACCCAAATGAACCTATATTAACAACAGAACACAGAGTAGACGAAGAGGAAGTCGAAGAGGTCCCACGTGGACCAACGCCGGATTTGGTAAGTCTAAAATACTAGAAATTGACTATGGCCAAATTTTATTACCCCTTTTTTACAATCCATAAATGCTTATAGACTAATTTCCTTAAAAGGGTTGGATAATTTTTCTTGCCACTGGCTTTCTTGTTACCACACTTCGTTCTATTGAACTAAAAATATCCTAAATCTACAGGTTACAGTCTAGTAGCTTTATTAATCGCTTTCCTACGTGAAATAAAATGTTTTACGATTGTACGCCCCATGAGCTGTGGTAGTCTATTACAGTGGTGATAAAAAATAACTAAATATGCCAAAACTGGAGTAGTGGAATATTAACACCTTGGGTTTTTTTTTTTCATTTAATTAAATATTGTATTAATTAGTTTTGTTTGCGTTTAGGAGAGGAACATAGTTTGGAACCGCACCCAAATGAACCAAAACCTATTACAGTAAGTCTGAAATACTAGAAATATATTGCATGAACTTAAGCCTTATCGATTGCATCCCTACGTGGAATATAAACTTTTGGCGACTGTTCGCCTTATAAGCTGTGGTACTCACAGCTGGGTACTGTATTGCAGTTGTAATATAAAAATAAATATGCCAAAACTGGAGTAGAGAAATATTATTACCTTGTGTTTTTTTTGCATATATTTAAATAATGTATTAATTATAGCTTTGTTTGCGTTTAGGGAGAAGAACAGAGAAGAGTTGACATGGAGGACGATGAGGTCCCACAAGGACCAAGGCCGGATTTGGTAAGTCTAATATACTAGAAGTTTACTATGGCCAATTTTTTCCCCCTCTTTTTATAATCCATAAATGCTTATTAACTAATTTCCTTAAAAGGGTTGGATAATTTTTCTTTATTTTGTTTTTTAATTGAAGTTTTTGGGGTTTAAAAAATCTGAAAATTAGACCACAGGTAAGTTTAAAATATACAATTATATCAATTTTTTCTTTATTTTGTTTTTTCAGCGACGTTATATGGAAATGTTGGTTAGAGAAGAGGTAAGTACCAAAAATAAAAATTTGTCGTTTAATGAGATACTATGGGAATACGACCCTAGAATGCATGGACATTTAATCGACTATACTGGTAGATTCATTATGGATAAGACAATCAATTTCTATTAAACTATTTCGAATTTCGTAGTTTTTCAATTGAAAACTTTTGTTTATGTTATTTAACAATATGATGTCGTATTCAAATATGTATCTTTCTGATTTTCTCTCAGAGCTCTATCAACTTTTAAAACTTAAATGGTAACATCTATGTATATTTTATTGGCTCTTTTAATTAGTTAAGTGCGGTAAAGTTGTAAAATTCTCCTTCCCCTCTCCATATTTATTAAATATTTATTGTTATTTCAAAAATTTTTAATCAAATTATCGCTTATTTAAAAAGTTTATCAAATATTTATACATGGAACCTGAGTTTTTAAGAGTTGATTACACCCTGGAAAGTTGTTAATAAAACAATTTTTTGATAATTTTCAGAGGAGGAAGCATGCTTGTATGAGGTGCAAGGAGTTCGGGCACCTCGGGCACCAGTGCCATCTGCCCTGGGTGGAGTCCAAAGAAAGTCCCGAACATTATGCAAGAAGAATGAGGGGGCGCCGTAGGCGTTAGAGATCACTCTAGTGATCTCAGTACATGCACCGTTCTATACCCTGTTCGCTAAGAGAGCATGCCGGGCAGTGTTGGGCAAAATCGTAATCATAATTACCATTACGTTTATAATCATGAAAATTTTAAGGTGTGATTACGATTACACTTATGATTATGGTAACGATTACTATTACACTCGTAATCACAACCTTTTTCTATGATTACGGCCGTATACACAGATTTCCTCTGTGATTACAGTCGTAATAATACTTTTTTCTGTGATTACAAGTGTAATCATAATTAAATTCGGGATTATGAATGTAATCGTAATCGTAATCATATCTCCGGTATCTGTGATTGCAATCGTAATCGTAATCATATCTCCGGCCTGTGATTATAATTGTAATCGTAATCACACCTTAAAATTTTATGATTATAATCGTAATTATGATTACGATTACGCCCAACACTGATGCCGGGTTTGCGCGTGTAGACTGAAGACTAAGTAGCAAGACTAAGGCAGGCAGACAGAGCGGACTTACGGGGGAACGTTAGTCACATGCCGCAACCCAACGAAAATTGGCCGTTCTGCGCATCCCCCCGTGGCACCAAGTGTGACTAACGTTTCCCCCGAAGTCCGCCCTGTCTGCCAGGCTTAGTCTTCAGTCTACACGTGCCAACCCAGCATGCTCTCTTAGCGAACAGGGTATAAAATGGTGCATGTACTTTTTGGCCTGGCTTTGATACCGGCACATCAAAGCCGACTAGGCCCTTATTTTGGTCGCCGGGGTTCCCACTCTAGCCGCATCTTCTCCGACTTCGATACCTCCTACCACTCTACCTCTAGTCCGCCAAATTCTTTTAATCTCCAGTTCTCCGGTTTTATCGGTCCAACCACCACTCCTTATGTCCTGGGTACTTGACCCTTTAGCTCATCCGCCGTCACTCTCCTCCGGCCGCCTCTTGTTGGTGCATTGAGAGGTGGCGCAGACACTCTTGTGGCGATCTCCTATCAACCTCGCTCCATTCCACAAGTTGCTCATGAACCTTACTCGCATGCCACTGGCCGGGCCAGTGGGAAAAGCCGGCTACATTTCAGCTACCGACTACCGTTTGACAGTGTTGGGCAAATGTAATCTGTTTAATTATTACGATTAATAATAGTAATCAGTAATCATAGTGTTAGATTAATACAATCATATAAATGTAATCATGATTACATTTATGATTACATTAATCTTTCAAATGTGATCATGAAATGATTAATGATTATATTTTTTTAACCGCCATAGGTTTTATGTATTACATAATACATATATATATAAAAAATATATGGGATGTCTAAGACGATTTGACCTTTGCAATATCATCTAGACAATTATTATTATTTTGTAATAAGCCTGGGGCGGTTAAACAATTTTTTTTTATAATGTTTTTTCATGATTACAATTGAAAATATAATCATGATTACTGATTACTTTTACAAAATGATAAAATGATTAATGATTAATTTAATCATGATTACAATGTTGTAATCGATTACGTAATCCAATAATAAATTAATCGGTTACGCCCAACACTGCCGTTTGAAGGGCATTACTGCCAATATCATACTACAATATACATGTATTCTTTTTTTTGTCCCTTTAAGCATTTTTGTATTGTCGTACCTATTGCACCACACCTTCAGTTTTGCGCAGGCGAACCCTCCCACTTCTGATGTGATGTGGTGTAAATAGATGAATAAAAGCCATTTGAATACAAACTCCACCCCATTGAATTGTAATAACTTCAAAGTTAACATTATAATTTTTTTTTTTATAAAAATTGTTATAATATCTAATGTAAAAAAAAATATTATGTAAAACCATCTGGTTAAAATCATATTATTCTTGATAATGTGTGTATAATAATATACAATAACCGTAATGTTAATAAATACAGTACTAATTGCTAAACAAAAAAAAATGTTTTTTATTTAACTAAAATACATTGATAATAATATACAAGGTAATGCAATGTTTAAAACCAATTGCGTAATGTAAACATTTTATAAAAAGTACAGTGTTGTTTAGGGCTTAAATTCATGTGAAATAAACACGTTGGGTATCCATCATCAGAGTGTAATTGATCTATGCGAGGACAAACAATATCTTCAAGGTTAATTATGTTAATATGTGATAAACTCATGTAAAATATTATTTTTCTGTAGTCCATATATGGTTGTAAATGTTAAAGCATTTAAAATTATTGATAGTTCTTCCGCTTCATAATGAGGTGCCATTGAGTGAAGGTGTTTGGTTAGCCATTTGTTAACATTTTGTGTTTTAATGTTTAAAGATTGTGTAACATACATACCTACTTATATATATATATAAATAAAAAATAAAAAAAGTACCAACCAACCAAGTTCATACTTACATTGGGTTCATTCGGTTTTTATCGAGAGCTCAGACAACACATCTGTCCTTTTTTTCTTTTTGTACTTTTCGTTGGTTAAAAATGGAATACGAAGTTTTCGACGGATTTCGTAAAAATAGTAAGCTACATCATAGTAATGATGGCTTTTTTTACCGCGTAAAGAAAGTGAGGCTATCGTCTACCTCACTAAGTTGTATAAAACCCAACTGCACTGCGAGAGGTATGATTTATTGCTATATATTATTTTAGAAAATTAATCTTTTTTCTCAATATGAATTATTTGTAACCCGATTGTAAATGGAAAACTGAAGCAATTAGTAGTTAGACGTAATCGTACTTATTTTACGAATACACAATAAAGCAGTGTACCATTTAAGTATAACTCAACAGAAGATTTTTTTTAATTAGGTAATACTCCACTTAATTAGAAAAATATCTTTTAAAAGGCTTGAAATAAAAACCGTTTTATTTGATTTTTTTTAGAAAATAACACTATTTTTCAAAGAAAAAAGGCCAGCACCATGAGTTGCCCTAGTACACAATTTATAGATTTTAATATGATAATTTACAAAAATTGATCAATGGGTTAACTATCATGAATATTTTGTGGCAATTAGTATTTATATTCATAATAATTTTTTATAATCCGATTTGGTATAAAACATAACAATGATTAAAGGGATTGAAAGCGGACGGTTTTTAAGGGGTTTTATAAAAGACAATATTTAAGAAAAAAGCAACTTTTCGAACATTTTATTTAGTTACAGGTTACTTTGTAAAAGCTAGAGGCATCATTTTTAACTTTTACAATTTATTCTCCGAGTAAATGCCATTTTGTACATACAAGAAATTAATTAAGGGAATTGCATACGGTAGGTTTTAAAGGAATTTTGTATAGGCAATATTTAGGAAAAATGGTTTTAATAAATTTTTACCATGTCAATTAATTTACCGGTTAATTTGTATAAGCTTCATGGTGTTATTTTTAATTTAAATCATTTTAACTATGAGTAAAGCCATTTTAGTTAATATAGTATACATATTTTGTTCCATCGCACAGGCTGAACCAGTGATCCGATAATTTATCTGAAAATATATTTGAATTTGCCATGAAGTTTACTTCATCGGTCAGGACACTTTTTTAAAATCTTATTCCTACTATGTACAAAACCCGTTTGAATATTATAAAAAATTTCAAATTTTAAAAGGGTAAAGGTAAAGGGTTTAAATTAAAAACCGAAAGTGTGCCCTGAACGATCCTAAGTAAACTTCATGACGAATTCAAATCTGTTTTTAGATTGTTTATCGGATCACCGTGTTGGCTTATGCAATTGAATAAAAATGATGTTTTGACTGAAAAAATTGACCGCATGTAATCCCCCCTTAAGACCTAAAATCTTGACAAAACTATGCCTACTTAATATGATTGAATTTTAATTCTGTATAAATATTTGGGCTCATGAGCTTTTTCCCTAGGTTACCGTGGAAGTCGGATTAATAAAACAATATAAAGGATACTAAAAACTTAAGAAATTAAAATAGGATTTAAACACAATTTTAATTGAAATATAAAATTATTTACACAATAACCTTGAAAAGAGGACGATTAACTTGACATTTTTTATATAAAATTCAAATTGGACATTCTACGTAGGCGTAATTTTGCCAGGATACTAGGTCTAAAACTTCGAAAAAACCAGTCCGCTTTTAATCCTCTTAAGGCTGAAAACAGCTTATAACATTAAACTCTTCTTAACACAATATTGTAATTTTTTTTATTATATAAAGGACTTATCAGGAATGATAGATTTGAGGTGATCGGACTTCATAATCATGATCCTGATATGGAATATTTGTCCGCTGTACGTGTAAAAAGCCAAATTCTTTATCGTTGTTCAACAGAATTGACCAGTCTTAAAGTCATTTATGATGAAGAAATAACACAGTTATACCTACCTTTAATAATAATTTAAAAATTAATATCAATGACGGCATTATTTATTACATTATTTAAACTGAGCTGATTAATTGTATTTAAAACTTGATGCCTCACAAACACAGGCGGAGGCAACTGTGGCAGCTGAGCTGCCTCACTTAAACCTATTTTATTGCATAGTGATCTGTGATCGCTTGGGTTATCCATAAGTTATTTACATAATATATATTTGTAATTAAAAAATCTAGAAAGCGTAAAAAATTGTTTAACCTAAATAGGCGTAAATAATTGCGTAGTTAATTATAATTTAAGTATATGTCGAATCAGTAAATTGATAAAATAGGTGTACGTCTTAGTACACTTTTGAAAACTAAGTCATGCTGTAAACTACGTTCATTTAAAAATGTCCGTATATTCCTCTTAATTTAATAGAAGTAGGTTAATTTAAGCATGTTGTAAGAGTTTTAGACTACCATTATTAATTATTTACAAACTACTAAAAAGACAAGGTTTTTTTAACACGCTTATATTAGCTTCACTTGTATGTATGTATGTTTGTATGTAACTATGTAACTAAAAGAGATAGGCAACCGAACGTACATGTGTGTATTCATTGTTGCACTGGGCCGATGTCACTACATTTAAAAATAACATTATATATTGCCTCCCCTGTAATTGAAGCCCGCAAACGCTTGTGGTCATTAAAATGCATATTAAAAAGTTATTTTATACATCTTATTAGTATATTTTCATAGAACACTAAATAACTGTATACCTATAAACGTATTTCGTAAGCCTTTCTGTTCAATAATAATAAAACAAAATTTGTTTTATTATTATTGAACAGAAGGTATTTAATACTTAATGAAAGTCCTACCGTTTTTAAATATAAGAACACTTAATATTAAAATTAAGTTCTCAAATCAATCAGCTCAGCATAAGCATAATTATTTAGTAGTTCAAGACTTACATATTCTAAACTTAGATTAAACCATGTTAACACTCAATTGACGTACACCAGCTTCTTGCGAACTATGGAACGGGCCAGGGCCGAGGCTCAGCCATCGATACCCCAGACTCTCTTGGGATATGCGGGCAATTTGTCTGACCCGAGGTACCGTCATCTATTTTTAACGTCTAGCAACGAGGAGTTGTATAGGGGCTACATAGATGGAGGTGTAGAAGCTGGCGAAGCAGTGGTTTTCATTTCGCCTGCAATGATGAAGTAATCATTTAATTAACAATGAAAAAATATGTGTTACAACGAAAACATTGCCTTTGATCCCAAAAACATATTTCTTAAGTATTTAAAAAAAATATATAACTTATTTTAAAGAAAAACGATTAAAATTTGTATAAATTAATTTCTTTCAATTAACTATAATGAATTATCTCCAACAAAAACCTAACAGAGAAAATTGACCAAGTTCCAAGACTAAATATCAAAGTAGTGATATTTACATTTCAAAAGCTTATCTTAGGAGGAATCAGAGACATGTGAGTTAGAAAAACTGGGTGAATTGGTTCGTTTAAAGATAAACTGGCATTACTGAAACTTGGCCTAGCACACTACTGTGCGCTCAGATAGCTGCTTGTAATATTTTGTGGACAAGTACAGCAGCATATTTAATATCAGTCCAATAGCAAATAGTTTTAATACCAATCTTCACAAATTAGAATATATAATTGCTTACCTAGATGATTTTTTTTATAGACAATATTATAGCTTAAATGTAATTTTAGTTTATTAGGCAGTTCACATGAATTACATGTAGATGGCACGTTCAAATCGAGGCCTATTCAGCCTCAAACTGAACAAGTTTTAATTATTATGGCCATTTACATGGATCAGGTAATAGAAAATATATAATAAATTTAAAAAACGATTTTTATGAGTTTACGATTAACATTTTTATTTATACGTTTACTTAGGCTTTTCCGGTTGCATTTGTGTTGATGACAAGGAAGACCGAGATCGCGTACCGGTGCGTGCTTGAATACGTAAGGGATCTTATTACAGGCGGTATTCAAGCAACAAACATCATTACTGACTATGAAACCGCATTAACCAATGCACTGAGGAATACTCTGCCAGCTGCCAACCTGCAGCGCTGTTGGTTCCACATGGTGCAAGTATGAAAAATGTTTTTAATAATTCTCTCATCATTTCCGGTGCTATAAAATATAGCATCGTGTGTTGCCATTTAAAAATGTTTATGGTAATTTATAGGCACTTTAGAAAAATGGTAAAGAGTTTGGCATGCGGCGACGTGAATATCGTAACGACTTGGCATTGCATAACATGTTCCGCATGTCGAAGGCTCTGGCCCTTTTACCTGTCGAGCACATAGCCGAGGGTTTTAACCTGATCAAAGAAGAGAGTAGTCACGCGGAAAACGAACAAATAGCTCGTCGATATATTAATTACTTCGAGAACCAGTGGATGAACCGTAAGTGTTTAGTACTGCAAACCTTAGAAAACAGTTTTTCAAATCACTTTGTATTATTATGGATATAATATTCATTAAATTTACCTAAATTAATAAGATTCATAATTATTGAACAGAAGCCTCCCCCTCCCCCAGTTGTAATACTAACAAAAGAAAAAAACAATTTGATTTTGTTTGATTTTCTCTCAATACTAACATAAAAATGAAATGCGTACATCTATATGAAATAAAGATGCTTGATAATAATAAATAGTTAATTATTACAAACAATACCTAATATATCCTCGAAAATGAGAAAATAGTTATTTAAAAAATAATTAATTTACCTTTGTACATAGTGGAGAGGAAATGGCAGAGTGGGCAAGGCATTAGTGTGTTTGGCACTCACTGTTGCCGGGCAAAAAATCGTCTGGTTAAAAGAAGCCGCCATCTCTCCGGCAATCACAGCTATAAACTTTTAAAAAGCTCTTGACTCCAAAATACTGAATTTATTTTTATGTATATGAAATGCTCTGGGGTTAAAAAAAACTAAGCAAAAAAATTGTCTTTTATTATCTCATTGTATAATACTTACTATAGGAACAGGTGCGCAGAATTTTAGCGTTTACGGACAGGCCAGGAGGACAAACAATGATCAGGAGGTCTTTCACAAAATTTTAAACCAACAAATGAATACAACAAGACCGGGAATTTGGAATTTTACAGGTAAATCGAAATACTTGCTACAAAATAGTTAATTAGTTATAGAAATAATTTTTTTTTTTTTAATTACAGAGGTACTCTTGAAAATTGAGGGTATATAAATACCCTCAATTTTTAGTTATAAAATTATAACTAAACTATTATGATATTTTTGGTTATAAAACCAAAAATATCAACAGCAGTTGGAGCGCCCCACCTTAAGGCCACGTCGTCCACTATATGTGCAGCAGGACAGAACATAAGAGCGGCGACTGAAAGGCTGGAGCAAGGCTGCCTTACTGTTAAGGAATTTCTCTCCTACACAGGCCACTTGGCCTATAACATAGGTATACCGACAATAGTACTAAATAAAGACTGCCAGGCGAGCAACCGTCCGGTAAAATACCATCCTCCTCACAGGCGACGGACTGACGATCCGTCCCGGATAGCGAATTCATCAAGAAATCATCTCATGATTGCACGTTGGGCCTTCATGGTCCGTTATGCTACAATTAAAAATAAAACCTTAATAAACTAAATTTTTTTAATAAGGAATATAACAGGTTATAAATAAAGTTGTTTTATTTTAACTTAAAATTTAGAATTGGGAGATGGTGAGGAGCAAAATGCTCCCGTTGTTGAAGCTGCCGATCCTGTAGTTGAGGCTGCTTTTGTTGTTGAGGCTGCTCCGGCTGTTCAAGCTGTCCAAGATAATAACGCCATTCTTCCCAGTAAGGCTCTGAACAGAAATATTAAAAACAATTTGTTAACAATTATAATAGTATACAACATATTTCTTAATGGCAATACATTATATTATATATAAGAAAAAGGAAATATTAAACATGCAATATTTAAATTTAAAAAAAAAACTAATAAAATTACTCGTACACCTAAATAATAAAAAAGGATACCCTGTAAAAATATATTTTGTCCATATCATATTAATAATAATTTTTATGACCATTAATATTATTGTTGATAATCCGTTTATATTTTAATTTATTTGTGTTAATAGTTAATGATGACTATCACATACCTGAGGATGACGACGAAGTTCTCGCGTTTATCGGGCAAATGGAAGGACAACGTTTGAGAAGGGAGCAAGATAATATTCCATTCGTTTCGGCTAATTTGAATGAGGATATAACACCGCGACAAATAAACAGTTGTGGCATTTGCTTGGCAGCCACTAACACACATGCCTGCATTCCGTGTGGGCACAAATGTTTATGCCACGATTGCGGTGAGTAGGTGAGGGGCAGAGGGCGTTGTCCCATTTGCAATTCTGACATCTATATGATTGTCAGAATTTTTGACTAGCATCATATTGTGTAAATATTATTTTGTATATAAAATTAATTCTGTAAATAATAAGTGTAAATAGCGTAAATATTGTAAATTGTAAAAATAGGGGGTTGTGATAGATCGCCTCTTCGTGGTACCCCCTGGGCAACGTTCATCTTCTCAAGACGAACGGCTAAAGATCTATTAACTCAGTGGCCAAACTATCATTTATAACGTTCTCCTGGCCTGATTACATGCAACCAAACCGAACACAATCGAATCGAAAGATTCTCAGGCCACCTAAGAAAGCTAGGGTCTACCCTACGCATTTGCCAAATCAATATTGAAGGTATTAGCAGATCAAAAAGTGACTACATCTCCCGAATCCTCAGGGAACAAGACATCAATATAGAGGACCCAGAATCGACTCCATATAATTTTGGAAGTGTTGTATAATGATAAATGAGTTTTTTTTTAAATGAACATTCATACTCGTAAAAATCAAATATTATGCCTATCAACGAATATAAATAGTATAGTATATATATTAACATAAAGGGCTGCGGGAAAAAAGATCAATGTAAATTTTTTTTTGAAAATTAGATTTTGGTATCAAATTATTTGTATTGACGTATTGTATCTTTTATGCGCTCGAACTAGGGAAAAAACAGATTAGTCGAGTGACTAAAAATATATTAAATTTTTCCCAACTAATAAATATAAAAATATTAAAAAAAAACCCGGATAAGCAAGTCACCGTACGGTACCACTGCAGGTAGAAGAATAAACATACCGCGGACGCGGTGGCCGGTCATCGGTGGATCGGCACTGGGCGGCAAAATTTTCGGAGACATTATTTTCGGTTAATACATGTTTCGGCTTAAAAATTGTTCGATAAAAATATTTTCGGAACTATTATTTTCGGCGTTAATGTTTTTCAGTTATAATAATTTTCGGTAAAATTATGGTCGGACCAAATACTTTCGGCTTTTTTATAGCCTCCCAATAAAATACTTCTTTGTATAATAGGATAGGTTAGGTTAGGTTAGGTTAGGTTAGGTTAGGTTAGGTTAGGTTAGGTATTAAGTAGGTTAGGTTAGGTTAGGTTAGGTTAGGTTAGGTTAGGTTAGGTTAGGTTAGGTTAGGTTAGGTTAGGTTAGGTTAGGTTAGGTTAGGTTAGGTTAGGTTAGGTTAGGTTAGGTTAGGTTAGGTTAGGTTAGGTTAGGTTAGGTTAGGTTAGGTTAGGTTAGGTTAGGTTAGGTTAGGTTAGGTTAGGTTAGGTTAGGTTAGGTTAGTTAGGTTAGGTTAGGTTAGGTTAGGTTAGGTTAGGTTAGGTTAGGTTAGGTTAGGTTAGGTTAGGTTAGGTTAGGTTAGGTTAGGTTAGGTTAGGTTAGGTTAGGTTAGGTTAGGTTAGGTTAGGTTAGGTTAGGTTAGGTTAGGTTAGGTTAGGTTAGGTTAGGTTAGGTTAGGTTAGGTTAGGTTAGGTTAGGTTAGGTTAGGTTAGGTTAGGTTAGTCGCGTTGTAGCAGCCGTCGAGTGCACATATGTCTCCGGTCGCTCCGTGTCATTGAGTGTTTTTGCGCGAATTTTTTTCGACCGTTTTTTGTGTTTGACGTGTCGAAAAATCCGTCTTGGCTTTGTCGTCACAACGCGGGGTTCGGCAAATAAAACGTTTAAATATTAAAGTCGTGGTGCCGATTTTAAGTCGCAAGTTTTTACTTGTTAATTATTTTGTGCAGCGGAAAAACAACAGTGTGCGTTACACGGGGAACGCGAGTGGAACTGTTTTTGATTCTCGTTCGGCTCCCAGTT